ATTGGTGATTTCCAAATTCATGATTCCAGACACTACTGAGCCTCAGGTTCATATTTTCAACTGGCTGTTTTGGCAACATATCCTAGAGCCAGGTCAAGTTTGACACGTCCAAGTATAAAATCTATGCCCATACACCATTTCTGGTATTTTTTTGTCTCAAATATCAGAAGATATCTCTTTGTGAATTTTCCTAATCTCTGGTTATCTTCTGGAAATCACAATTACTAAGAATATAGGAGTCCATGTCTACGGGCAAGTATTAAAGTCTCTGGGACAGGAGTAAGGAAGAACTAAAATGCATTGAGGATCCAATAGGACAGGAACCTGTTGCAGCCTTTCATATATATCATGATGTCAATATCTGCAATATCAGTCAGTCCTAAATACAAACGGGGAAGATAAGAGTTCTTAAGAATCTTGAAATTTTATGTATGTTCTAAAGGGGAACCAATCACTATCCTATTAATTTTCCATGTACTTGTTATGCTCCCATCAGAGCAAAGCTCTTTCGAGATCATTTTTTCTTTTTTAAGATTTTATTTATTTGAGAGAGAGAAAGTGAGAAAGAGAGAAAGAGAACACGAGTGGGGATGGGGGAGAGGGAAAAGCAGGCTTCGCACAGAGCAGGGAGCCTGACGCGGGGCTTGATCCCAGGACCCTGAGATCATGACCTGAGCGGAAGGCAGACGCTTAACCAACTGAGCCACCCAGGCACCCCTTCGATTTCTTTTTTTAAAAAATATTTTATTTATTTATTTGACAGAGACAGCGAGAGAGGGAACACAAGCAGGGGGAGTGGGAGAGGGAGAAGCAGGCTCCCCGCAGAGCAGGGAGCCCAATGTCGGACTCGATCCCAGGACCCTGGGATCATGACCTGAGCCGAAGGCAATCGCTCAACCGACTGAGCCACCCAGGCGCCCAGCCCCCTTCGATTTCTTAAATGCTTTTCCCACCTCTGAGATTTCACATGTGCTTTTCTTTCTGCCTGGAATATTCTTCCCTATCCCTGTCATCTTTGCCCTGAAACTTCCTAAACATTTTCAATATCTGGTTCAAAAGTTACTTTTTCAGACAAATCTTCCACAGTCAATCTAAAACCCACCTATTTTCCTAACCACACCCTGTGTTTTTTTTTCCCCATTTTAGCACTCACCACACTTTCCAATTATATATTAATCTGTGTGTTTTCTTGTTTAATGCATATATCAATTATTAGGTTGCAAGCTCAGTAAATACAAGAATCACTTTTTTCTTTCTATTTTCTATAAAACTACTGTTTATTTAGCATAGCGTTGTGCACACGGCTGTTAAGTAAATGAGTACTTTGATAGTCTATATTTATACTGTAGCCACTAGCCATGTGATACTACTTACTTATTTTTATTATTTTAAGTTTTTATTTTAGTTCCAGTTAGTTAACAATACACGCGATACTATTTAAATTACAATTCGTTAACATTAAATAACATTAAAAATTCAGTTACTCTGTCATACTAATGAAATGTTAAGACTAATAGCTACATGGCTCTATGTTGGAGAGTGTGCATATGGAACATTCCTATCATCACATAAAGTTCTACTGGACAGACTAGTCTACAGTAAGCAATTAATAAAGCAGTAGTAATAAATTAAGGACTTACTAGACATCTACATCTAGATTCTATGCATTCTGTTCTATTCATTCCTATTTTCTTTAAGGAGCCACCTAACAGGTCCCTAGTCCCAAATATTTCTCAATCCAGATGGTTCCTCAACTTACTGCTAAGTATATCCGCCCATCAAGTCACTTCTTTTCTAAAACACACTGATAACTTCTCATTGCCTACAGGATGGAGTTTGAACTCCTTAATACGGAAACAAGACTTCTTGTCTTCCCATTTGTCACCCCAATCTCGAATGACATTGCCCCCCACATACGCCCCTCCAGTTCCACTTATAAGACTTCACCCTTCTGTAACCCAAATATACTGTCACAATGCTGCCTGAAAGGGCTATCTTTTCCTCTCCTTGATGCAGTCCTCCCCCCGTAGGACTCAGTTCTCGAGCTTCGCCAAATACGCAGCATCCTCAGCTCTTACCTCTGTCACATTATATTGTGATTATCTGTTTATATCTCTATTTCCGCCACTGTATTACGAGGTTTCAAAGAAAAGGGACAGTGGTTTACTTACCTCCCAGTGTCCAGTATATTGCATTTTGTACAGAACTTACATATTTTGTTGTTATTGAAATAACAAAATGATATAATGGTGAGTAGTTACAGAACTGAAAAGATTCACTCTTATTCTATAAACAATTCTTTACTAATTTTTGTGAATTTTTGCCTATTTCAAAAACCTTCTCCCCACCAATCACGATACACTACTCAGTCTAATAGTATTATCTTTGACAGGTCAATAAAATGGCTTTTACTTTAGTTTAGTAGCTGAAGATGTAGGGAACTCTTAAATTGTCAGCAGTTTGGGGGCTGAAGCTCATCAATTACAAATGGAAACAAATAAAAACAGCAAAACCAGAATATTTCTAAGCAAATGAGCCTGTAGGAATACCCTGGTGGAATAAAGACTATAAAGGACTCCCACATTACAAAAAAGTTTTGTAAACTCAGTAAAGTGTACACAGTTCACTCTTAATCTTCTCTAACATAATCTCTCACTTCTTGGATACTATGCTTATATCTATCGAACTCAATTTTGTTTCATAGCATAGACATACATTTGTTATTATTTCTTGAAAATTGAAAAACAATATTATAATAATCCCAGGGGGGTTAAAAAAAAACCAACAGAGAGGAGTATGTTCTGAATAATGTCAGAAGAACATTTTTATGTGAAAACAATATATAACAGCAACAATGATGATGCTGAACAGTTGTTTTTTTAATTAAACTTGTTATTGTTTTGACATATTTTTTAAAAGATTTCAAGTCATTTTAAATCTTGTCAGTGAAATTTCCACTTATACGTGCTCACTTTTTGCCACACTTTAATCCTAAATTATTAAGTAAAGTTCAAAACTGTCAGGGCATGCTGCGATTAAGAAATTTTAAAGATGTATGCAGAATCAAGTATCGTAAACATTTGACTAATGGATCATATGTGTAGTGGGAGATCCTGAAGATGGTACTAACTAGAAACAGTGATTGAGTAAAGAGATGTAAGAAGGACCTCCATTATATCTTTTGTTTTTTCCTAAGGAAATTCATCCATCACATGTCCTTATTTGATCTCACAATTTGTTAGCTTTTTATCCAAACACAATGGCATGACAAAATCTTGCTGTGTGGCCTTCGAGTTTTTTGTGGTGGGAAGATTCCTGTACTACAATTCTCTCAGCCTTTTCAATTCTATAGGAGTTTGTTCATAATTAAAACAAAATATCCCAGGGCTGATACTTAAGAGTCTATATCATATTTTTAATATATAAGTTTATAAATGGAGCAACTACATTTTTAATATATTCTTCGACCTCTAACTTAGCTTTCAGTATATTTAACAATAGGGTAAAAATAGTGTTTTGTAACAAATGATTTTCTATCAAATGCATTAGACCTATGAAGAAATGAGTATTGAAGTCGCTCACAAAACACTCACTTGTTATATATGTTCATCAGAAAGTGACTTGTAAATCGTTTTTGACATATTTAATGTAGCTCATTTATGTAAATGATGTCAATCCACAGCCCAGCTTTTCAGGGTCAGGATACTGTTGTTATAAAGCATGCTTCAGTACTAACACACCACGACTACTCCAAGCAATGGCCATTCATCTCTAGGCAAGAGGCTTCAAGAGAAATTACTGTGAATTCTTGGACTCTGAAAGAATGAGGATGCTTTTTAGAGAATTCTGTCCCCTGGGGGTGAAGGGATCAGTGGGAGACAGCATCATTGGCAAGGACACTAGGTAAAGAATGATGTGTGCTCACAAGCTGGCCTCATTCAAAAGCCATGTTTTCATTAGCACTCTTAAGTGCTGTGATGGTTTGTATTTCTGTCCCTGGAAGTGTTCAAAAGCCTGAGGGTACAGATTGAGAAAAAAAGTGATAGGCTCAAATGGAAGAAAATGAAAAGTTTGTACAAGACCAAAAAAAAAGCTTCCTATTGAGAGTATTTATTAACTTAACAGCAATTCTTCTTAATAACAGAGTTTATGCGGAAGGTGTCTGGCTATTTAAGAAAAGTTATTTCAAGGAAGATAAATCCAAGTAAAAAAAATAATATATTGAAGTTAAAAGTGTGATTCCAGAAGCATTATTGTTCTATAAAGCTTGTATTCACTCAAATGAGAACTTGAATGGAACAAAATGGGTGTGTTTCATAGAATTCTGTTTCCTGTAACTTATATTAGATGGCAATCTTAAAAAATGAATTGCAGTGTTCTTCACAACAAATTTTTCACATTTTGGTTTATTTTTTTCTTCTTCTTATCTCATATATTCTCAAAACCTAATCTAGATAAATGCTCTAGAAAATATTTACTACAGTATTACCATAACCATATTTTCAACTTATTTGATTCCTATAAAGATACATAATTTTACATGTGTGATGTGTTTTCATAAAAATACCAGATCTGATTCTGTTAGTGTTCAAGTTACTCCAGTGATTATATTACTTTCAACTTCAAAATCAAATTTAATGTACAAAAGCATTTTAATTTCCATGGACCAGGACAATGCAGTGATCTTACTGGGAATAGTGAAAATGGGCAAAGGGATAACCCTTTGGCAAGCTGCCAAAGAGATCTAACTCAAACCTGGGTAACAGTTCACACTGGGAAAAAAACAAAAAAAACCAAAAACAACCAAAAAACCCCTAATACTGTAAAAATTTGTATCTTTTTTTTTTTCACTTTTGGATCTTAAAAATTATTCATGTAAGATAGTGTGAATTTATCCTACCACTTATGAATGATGGACATTAATTTTTACTTCAAGATTATATAATTAATTGTTCATACATATACATACATGCCACTTAAGTAAGATAAATATATCTTGCCTTACAAACTCTTCCAACTCGAGAAAGGATGGTCTTATCAGAAGTAGTGCCTTCTTGAGATGATTCACGAAAGAAGAAATATATTTTATCGTCATCTGGATTATAGGTGTCTGGTATAGGGAAAGTTCCAATAAATTTTGCTCCTGTTTGAAAGAAAAGAAGCTATAGATTAAAATACTGAGACAATTCAGCCAGGATAGCATTGGTGTCTTTGAATGTGAAACAGTTATCAGCAGAATAAAAAAAAAAAAAAAGAACCATTAATTGAATGTGTGAAATGAGACATACACAAATAAATACGACACGAGGTAGAAACACGTATTAGCATGCAGAAGTCTCGAACAAGTTCTCTAGGAACTTCAGAGAGCCAGTGAAAACATTACTGGCTGATATTCACAATTGTTACAACTCAACCAAATTACTTAGAAAGTACTTTCAAACCTGGAGAATCTACGATTTTATATTTTCCTTTTATTTGATGGAGTCACTGTTTTTTAAATCACAATGTATAGAATGAAGAGCTTAGGGAAAACTATAAACATATCCCAAATTTTGATATGTTATTTGCTGCATTTTGTGTAATTGCTAAAGGGAAGAAGGAAATTAAAACAACTAATTAACAGAGCTTGGGTTGACTCCAGTGAAGGCTCTGGAGACAGTCTTTGCAGGTATATATCCTATCTCTCCCACTTACTACAAGGGTGACCTTAACGTGAATTTTGCCTTCTCTATGCCTCAATTTTCTCATGCCTAATATGAGGCTACCAATCATCTACCTAGTAGGATAACTGATATGATAACCAAGTGAATTAATATGTGTAAAGAACTTGCTATCTGGTAGTGCCTGACACATAATAAGTGTTCAATAAATATTATTTATCATTAAATAAATCTTCAGGATGATAATCATTATTACGACCACTAACAAGAGAATGATAGAAAATTTAGCACATCCACACACTTGATCGAATAACAGGTAGCTGATAAAAACGAAGAACACAGTTCCAAATGTACTGGCATGGAAAGATGCCCATAATACATGTCAAATTAAAAAAATATTAGCAACTCAACTAACCCCTTTGCACTGCACCAATGACAAGCCAGTTTGGGTTACTAATTCCTTCTTTAAAAAGTATTGGGCCTTTTTAAGTTTGGGTTTTATAGAATTGTGAATGAACCAGGTAACAGATCTGTAATGAGGTGATACTAACTTGGAAATAATTCTTTTGATTAAGGCAAACTAGAGACAGTGGTTATTGCAGAAAGAAGGAAGAACTCCAATGAAGTAGAAAATATGAGATGCCTGGAGGGAAGCACAGAGCCATCTTTAGGAAGTAGAAGCAGGAAACAAGAGAAGACAAAAAAGTTTCAAACCACAGTCACCAGCACCATAACAAAAACAAAACAGAGAGTTAAGAGGTAGGTGAAAAAAATCAATATTGCCTTATTGTCATGTACCCCAGGAGTCCTGAAAATCATTCCCCTGCTAAAGTAGAGCAGTAGGTCAATAGCCCAGTAAACAGGACTTCCTAATAGCTTTCTTCAATAAATAAAAGTTAATGTTTGATTCCAAAGTGATGGGTAGTTCAGTCTTCATTATCCCAGCCAGGCTGGGTCAACCAGGGTCTCTTATCCAATTTCTTCTCTGCTTAAATGGGAAACTTTGAGAGGAAAAGTGAGGGGGAATTATGTGCATGAACTTTCTCCCCTTTGTTCTTTATTAGTTCCCTGTTCTTTCCCTGAAGTTCAGAACTCCAACAGATTCTTATGCTCTTGATAATCTCACTTTGATATAGTCCTAGGTTACATTAAAAAAAAAAAAACTTAGAAAACCATGTAGGGTTTTGGGAGGTGCCTGGGTGGCTCAGTTGGTTAAGTGTCTGCCTTCTGCTCAGGTCATGATCCTGGAGTCCTGGGATCGAGCCCCGAGTCTGGTTCTACGCTCAGCAGGGAATCTGCTTCTCCTTCTCCCTTGCCCCTTCCCCTGCTTGTGCGCTCTCTCTCGCCCACGCTCTCTCAAATAAATAAATAAAATCTTAAAAAAAAAGAAAGAAAGAAAACCATGTAGGGTTTTGGGGCGCCTGGGTGGCTCATTCCGTCAAGTGTCCGACTCTTGATTTTGGCTCATGGTCTCAGGGTCCTGTAATTGAGCCCCAAAATGGCCTCTACACTCAGCAGGGAGTCTGCTTAAGGATTCTCTCCCTCTCCCTCTGCCCCTCCTGAGTAGCAGTAGGACACAAAAGGGATAAAACTGAAAATATACATAAGTTATAGGAATATGATTGGCTTGTTTTATCTTAACAAATATTTGAACTTAAAAAGGGGGTTCACACAAGTAGAATTTATCATAGCTCTCAGATATAATTTAAATAAAAGCTCTACATGAAGCATGTCACCCTTGTAACATTTAAATCCTATCACTTTAATGACTGAGTTGAATTTATAATTTAAAAAATAACATTGTGGTACAAAATTTAGTCTTCTCTCTCTAGAGAGGACATGAGAATTCAGTGATGTGAAACTGATAATCATTACAGATAAAAGGAATTCAAGGGTGAGAGACAGAGTGGCTTGTAAAGCTTTCCTCAGATACTCAGATGGGCGAAGTGGTCCAGAGGAGCCAACTGTTAGGTTTTCACTTGTTTACTGAGTTCAACAAAAAAAAATCAATTCCACAACAACACAGAATGTAGATGGTCTGCAAGGAGGCCAAATAAATATGACAATTCCTATTATCCTATTGCAGAAATACACAGAAAAACCTACTTTGGATATTGAAAATACTGTCCAAGTACAGGTATCACCATTTGAAATGGTCAAAGGTAGAATACGACACTAGTCTACATTCCAGGAATTTTATCTATGACATCAGTGGGAGAAAATAGAGTAGATACTTTCCCAATTTATATTTCTTTCACCTTTCAACTAATATATAACACAGATGATCAACAGAGCCTAGATGCTCATAGATGAACAATCACTTATATTCAGCGACTGATGATTTTATTAGATTCTGTTTTAAATGTTGGTTCTCTTTTAAGTACTATAAGACAACCATTTTGGAGTACTATAAGAAAATTGAATGATAGGGGTTTTTAAGCCAAATGTTTATTATAGGAAGAAATCTAATTATGAAAAATAAGTTAGTATCAAATAGTACTCTATTGTGTGATTTAAATAATAAGCATACTCAAGAGGTAAAAATAAATACATTTCAAGAATACAAAATATCTTTCTTGCAGATTCAACTGAGGTCCTGTCTAAGAAGAATATTGATGCTAGTACTTTAATATAGAAACTCTTTCCTGAGTTGCTGCCAAGTTTGAGTAAAAATAGTTATCATTTAATCAGTGTATGACATGAACAATTGTTGCACTAAATAATTTAAAATCATAACAACAGACACCTGGGCTTTATTATAATAGCACATTTTTCTCTTTCAGCATTTAAAAGACATGCTCTAATAGGGATAGAGTTTGAAATCATGCATTTTCACAAATAAGCTATTAGCATGACACTAAGAGGCACTGCCTAATGAAAATGGCATCAACCCACAGAGCCTGCAATATGCATCATGAACCTCTTTGCACCCGGATGAGCACACCTACACCATGATTTAGCAAATAGTGACTTCCTTACTTTCGTTCACTTCTTCTTGCAATATCTTCTCGCTACCACTTTTTAAAAATGTTACCCTTTCGAGTAGAAAGAGAATTTGGAGACAACAGAACTTACCAGGAGAAACTTCAAATGAAAACTGCCTCCATATGTTAAAAATAAAAATTAAAAACAAAAGTTCTCATCTACTCCAGGAAAGAAAACAAAAACATATGCATTTGAAGCATCATTGTTTGTTTTCATCTTCCAAATGGTCATACTTCTAAGCTTTATCCTAAAATTCTCACAAAAACTCTACTATATTTGAGTAACCACTCTGACTTCTACCTACATTCCTATTTCCGGATGGTTCTAAGATTAAGTTGATAAAGAAAAGTGAAAAAGAGAAGTGTGGGACCATCTAAGACTTCATCCAGAACTGCCCGTGGTACCGCATCTTTGCAATTTTTCATCCTCCTGGTGAGGTATTTAACAGGATTAGTCTCTCAAAGAAGGAGTCGGGATTCATACTTCTTAAGGCTACTGAACCTGGATTAGATAAAGTCCTGAGAAATTCTGACAAGGATCCTTGGACTTGTAAGTGAAGAGGATAGCTGATCTTGCTCTGGCTAATTCCAGGCAGGGCAAAGAACAAAATATGGCATACACACAAGCATCAAGGAATTTATGGACCTAAAAAAGATTCACATAGGATCATATTTTTTAAAAGGTTAATTATTTAAACACACTCAATCGCAAATTTAATTTAATTCTGTATTTCACTTATTCTAAATGTAATATCAATTTACATTTATAAGAGTTTAATCACAAACATGTAAAAAATAGGATTTTAAACTAAAAGTGAAAGTATAGAGAGCAAAATTTAACAGGAAAAAACTTTGAAACTTGTCTAACCAGAAATAAATAACACTATGATGTTACAATATATAGAAGAAACTGATTAGACATTGACATCGACTCCATCATCTGAAATATCAAATATGTCAGTTCTTCCTTTTTTTTTTTTTGAGATTTTATTTATTTATTTGACAGAGACACAGAGAGAGAGGGAACACAAGCAGGGGGAGCGGGAATGGGAGAAGCAGACTCCCCGCTGAGCAGGAAGCCCGGTGCGGGGCTCAATCCCAGGACCCTGGGATCAGGACCTGAGCTGAAGGCAGACGCTTAATGACTGAGCCACCCAGGCGCCCTGTCAGTTCTTTCAACCTGGCAACAATTTTATGAAACTGAGACGTGAGTTTCACATCTAGATGCTAAGTGAACAGTAAAGAAAATTTAGACTTGTGTTGCATTATTTGATTGTGAGCTACTGCACATAATTAATAAATAAGTACACTTTAGACCAACAGGGCCTAATAGAAAACCCTGTGATGATGGACATGTTTTATATCTGTGCTGTTCAATAGTCCTTAGCCCATGCGGCTAGTGAGCACTTGAACTATGTCCAGTATGACTAAGGAACCAAATTTTAAATGCATTTAATTTTAATCAATTTAAATGTACATGCGGCTAGCGTCTACTATATTAGTGCCACTTTCGAGCAAATAGCCTGTCAGTAACTGCTACATCAGGTCCAGTGTTAAGGCAAAAACAGCCTCTATTCCCATAACTGTCACCGAAAGGGCAGTCAAACTTGAGATTCCGGAGACAGGAGACACTATTGCCCTCAGAAGTTTGGTACTGGAATGGAATGACAGGCTTGGGGGCTAACAGACCTGGACACACCTTCTTCATGCCGTCTTAATTTATGGAATATAAGGTTGAATAAGATCATGTCTATGATAACCTTATTCGCAGTAATCTTCACAGTTCCTCTATCACTGTATTTTGTTTCCATGCATTCCCGACTCCAGCCAGATGATCCACTGACCTCTGTCTTTGGACCCCAGGTTGATTCTATCTGGAAAATGGCCACTTCTCAGAATGGAAAACAGAAATGCTCCCTAAGCAAGTCAATCTTTTGCCTTAGCCAATCAAGTACTTCCTCATTACAAGAATCTCATATAGTTTCTATAATTTCTCCCTTGCTGTGCCCTAGTTTCCATGGGCTGAGAAGCTCCTCGGCTGAATGGGTCTCCTGAGGCATGGTGTTCTTCTAATTCTGGCCTACCTGTCCATCAGCAAACATCTGATCTGATGGTTGCACTAACCCTGAATTCAGAGATTCTGCCGAGGTCTTCCACATCACTTACCTAACCACACGTTCTCTCTGGGCTCTAGTGCCTACGACCAAACCCACATCCTCAGTTTGCTATTGCACAACATAGCATTTAGGCATGGCCTCTGTCTATAAATGAGGCTCCAAAAGCAGGGAATGTGCAGTCAGAGGAGCAGAATTTAGGTTGATCATAAAATACATCATAAAATGTCAAGAAAAAAGTGTCTAGAGCAAGAAAGACATCCCTGAGTCTCAGTCTCCCATCTACTAGCTATCTATAAACAATATATCTGACTTCTAATCTAGCCCCCAAATGTAAAGTGGGAATAGTAATTCTCTCAGGATTATATCAGTAAATAAAATAATACTTTAAAAGTGCCTAAAATAGTGACCCGTGTGGACGCTATATAAAATAAATTTGAAGCAGAAGAGATCAGCGATAGGAAAATGAATTAACAAACAATAAAATAGTGGCAAGAACCCAGAGATCAAGTCATGAAGACCTATAGAAAGATGGCCATGGAAACAACAAGGTCGATAGATATTTTGACGGAAGTAAAAGCCCCTAGTGACAGATAAGATAAAGGGGGTGGGGGAGAGGAAGGAATCCAAGATAACTTCAAGGTAACTGGGTGAATAATGTTTAGAAAGTTAAGATAGATAGAACTCAGGAAACTGGCATTGAAGGGCAAGTTAGAAAGGGAAAACAAGATAATTTTAGATTTTAGATTTTTAGATCCAATTAGTCTTTTATGTATCTCTAACTATATCTGTATCTGCATATATTTAAAGAAACTCAAGCAAAGGATCACAACTTAAACAACTTGTAAAAAAAAAATCAAAGCACCTTAGTGGCACAATCAGGGTGAAGACTTAGATATCTTTATTTGCATACAAAACAATCAGCTTCTTTCTTGTGATCTGGGATGAAAATGTAAGACACCCAAATAAATATTCTTAAGGGCTCTGAGTTGCAGAAAAATAGGCTTGGAAATGTAGTTTCAGGAAATACTGGAGCACAGGAAACAGCTGGAAATCTGAGAGTGGATGAACTCACAGGATTATGAAATGCAGAGAGAGAGAAAGAAAAGGTGGTCAATAGTTATAGCTAAATAGGTATCAGTGAACCACAGAGACTTTGGTGTTTTAGTCCCACCTCCTGCCTTTTTCACCTTCAAGAATAAGGACAATGATGTGATGAAAGCATTGACAACTGAACTGCTCTTAAAATTGTCTTCCATCAGGCTTCCCAATATGATCTTCCCTATATGATCTAATTTAATCCTTAGAACACCCTGTGAATAAATACTATTATTATGCCAAATTTTTTACAAAAAAATGTAGACGCACAGAAAGGTTTGACCAAGGTCACAAATAAGTGATATTCAGGATTTAAACCTATGGAATTAAATTCCACAGAAACAGAGCTGTGATTCTTGTCTAAACTAGGACACTTTTGAGAGCTACAGAACATTAGAGGTAGACTGGAAATGTCCAGGGCAAACCGGGTTTTATGGTCCCCTGGCCATTAATCAATAAGCATTCTGCCTTGAATGTCTTAGAACCATAAACATTGGTTCTAATTCTTAGTCATTTGCCTGCATTCAGTCCATTGAGACTTTTCAAATGTGTATCCTTTCTCCTTTCTTCCTTTCCACTGACTTCTCTAATCACAAAGTTTTCTCAGTATCTAAAACATTCTCTTGAATTCCATCCTCAGATCCTTGAATTCTTCTATTCCCAAATATCTTCTATTTCAAATATTTGTTGCTGTATATTCTCACATCCGTCTCAACTGCCAATACCTTTGTTCTTGTCCCACATTTTCCTGATTCCTTGCTATGGCTTCTTTCTCTATCCTCATTCTCTTTTAGTCTTCTCTTCATACTACTGTCAGTTACTTTATAAAAAACAAAGATCCGATTCCCTAATTAAGATCAGGTTATGGATGAAGGGGGTGAAAAGGTACAAACTTCCAGTTATAAAATAAGTAAGTCATGGGGATGTAATGTACAGCATGGTGACTACAGTTAATATACTGTATGGCACATGTGAAAGTTGCTAAGAGTAGATCTTAGAAGTTCTCATCACGGGGCACCTGGGTGGCTCAGTCGTTAAGCATCTGCCTTCGGCTCAGGTCATGATCCCAGGGTTCTGGGATCAAGCTCCGCATCAGGCTCCCTGCTCAGCGGGAAGCCTGCTTCTCCCTCTCCCACTCCCCCTGCTTGTGTTCCCTCTCTCGCTGTCTCTCTCTCTGTCAAATAAATAAAAAAAAAAAAAAAAGAAGTTCTCATCACACACACAAAAATACTTCCAACTTTATGGTGACAGATGTTAACTAGACTTATTATGATCATTTTGCAATATATACAAATATTGAATCATGATATTATACCCTTGAAACTAATATGTTATGTGTCAATTATACCTAAAGAAAAAAAAAAAAGAACTAAACCATAATTCACTTCCCCATGATGTCAGGATAATATTTATAGCTTTCCAGCCCCAACTCCCACTCTCTTCTAATGCTTCTGGTAGTCACCCCTGAGTTCAGTAACCCTCCCATGTAATCTTTGCAAATCCATGAGTAGAACAGCATTCAGTATGCCAAGGGTCCTCAAAAGTTGTTATTAAATGTTAAACCAATGCAAGGCTTCCTACTTTGTAATTCTCTTCACACAGCATTTAAGAAAAACATGCTAGTCAAATAATAGTTGAATAAAGATTTCCTACATTTATTAATTCAGCAATGCGGCAGACTTCTTAATGGACATGTCATAGTTAAGGAATAAATAGAATAATCTCCGAAAAGAGTGGCAATATGATGACATTTGCCATCCCAAGATTAAGAAATACAATCTATACTTCATTTTAAAGCCATAAGTATATCTTGCTACCTAAACAGATGGGTAAGTAATTTGGTAAAATCCATGCACTCACTCTCAAACCAAGTATTTCCACAAAAACCTCACAATGCTCAAGAAGATAGTCTTGCCTTGTCTGAGTGTAGAGAAATTAATGAGTAATCACATAGTTGGGAGATCTTCTAAATTTGTCTTCCCCGGTAACAGGCTCTCTTTTGGTCAAGGGAGATCCCATTGTTGTGTAAACAAATGGATCTGGAGGTTCTGACTAAAGAAATGTTTTAAAGCATTTTTCCCTTTTGTTTATGTTGTCACCGCTTAAATGATACTGAGAGATAGAGAGATAGCCCCTAGGAAATGTCTACCCAGGCCTCCTCCACCAAAACCCAGTATTTATGGTGGGAAAGAGAAATGTTGTTTGTCTGCTTAAATGGCAATGTTATGTTATTCTGCCATGCTTTATAATAAAGTCCTATGATAATTAGAAAACATTAGACTATCATGATAAAACCTGATCTGCTATAAGGCAGGAGAACATAAACAAATTAATTAATCAATGAATTAATTCATTAGTGGCTTTTTTAAAACTCAGAATACTGTATCACCTCCAAACAAAAAAGTAATCAGATAAACTTATGTCAATATTAATATGCTTAAAATTTTAGAAGGACATGTCAACCCAAGTATAAATAACCTTTCAACAAAAGAAGTCAGCATTACAACCTATCCCTTTGTTGTTAGGCTATTAGACAGTATTTGGATTAGTCATTAAAAAACAGACTTCAGGAGAAAGATTGCCAACTTGAACCCCAGGGTCTACAACTGACAAGTTATAAGAACTTGACCAAATTTCTCAACTTCATTCTGTTTACTCATCTTAAAAAGGCACATAATAATAATAATGCATACCTCATATGTCATTGTGGACATTTAAAAAATCAATTAGAGCATGGAACAGCGTCAAGGACAATAGCACACTTTCAGTAAGTGTCAGCTATTATTATTATATACACAACAGGCTCTGGAGATTTGTCTTAGTGGGGAATTAATCAAATGCATTTTATAATGTTAAGCTAAACCACTTATTCCCAAACACATTTGAATGAGTAATAATGAGTTTCTTATCTATCCAAAAGCCAAGGCAAAAAAATGAAAAGAGAAAATCACTAACCATTGAGCCAGTAGTGCTCCGAAATGTCGGTTCTGATGTAATGATGGTCATGAGTAGGCCCAAGGGACCGCGTGAATGCCGTGTCTTTGCCAAGGAAATCAGACGCTGTTCCAGAATAGAGGTACTCATCTGAGAGGGAGAAGAGAATACACAGGACTTCTAAGAATACAGCAGCAGATACTATTTGCAATATACTAATTTCATTGCGTGAAACCAAAGACGTTTCTTGCTTAACATGAGAAGATACTGTTTCATAAATTTCACGTTCAAATTTTGAAAAATTTGTAGAGTCGAAGACAAGATAACCCAATGAACTTTGGTATGCTGGTGCTAGAGACCTGAAGATAAAAATGGCCAAAGTCTTCTGAATTCATAATTGCATATGCATTAGCTTCTCTTATGAATAAGCTCTTCCTCCTTTCCCCTCTCCCACAAATAACTCAAGGACACATCATAATTAAGAGTTTGTCTTCGTAGCAGCACAAAAAATACTAAAAAGTAAATGCCATAATGAGGAATGGATTGCGTAATTAGTATTTACTTAACCAATACAACCTCAATGACCACAACTTTTCTCTGCCTAACCTCTGCTGAAAGGGAGCTTTCAGCACTGAAGTCATTCTTGGTAATTATAACATGTTGCATTCCTTGTAGCTAATCACATCTCTAATGGTTCTGATACACAGGAATTCCTGAAAAGGGAAAGATGTGGCTATTACTGCATACCGAACTTCTTTGTCCTGTTATTTATGTAAAATGCATATCCAATGTTTTACCAGAAAGAGAGAAGTGGGGGGGGTACGCAGGGTGGGGGTCCAGCAGAAGAGAAAGGAGAGGAGAAAGGGGGGAGGTGTAAGAAGGGAAAGAGAAGGATGAGAGGAAGGGGAGGGAGAAGGAAGAGATCAGGGAAGAAGGGGAAGAGAAAAGGATTGAGGGAGAGAAAGGGGAGTGGGGGCCAGTGTTCCCTAATGCTAGTCAGCACTTGGAGGGGGGAGAGACAAGAATGTTGTCCCTACAGTAGAATATATTGCCCCTTTGAAAGCTAAGCCTCTATTTCAAGAAATCTTTATAGTCAATAATGTTGAGTACACGTAATAGACCAAAATAAAAAAAGAAAAGGCTAATCTCTATAGAGCATTTAGATTTTTAAATGGCTAAGTATAAGATCAGTGAAAGACACTGTTTTATCACTAAAATCCAATTTTCCTCAGAAATATTATCTTTAAAATTCTGACTTTCTATAAGTGATTGAAAACTTTCTAAATCCTCTGATTACATCCATCTGAATAACCTTTTACTGAACTATTTGAGTCAACCAATCTAAATAATGGCAAGAGTCAATTTCCAAAGGTAAACAAAACAAAACAAAACAAAACACAAAAGAGAGAAATCCAGTTAGGTAAAGTAAATGTAGATATGATACTACTTCCTTCTCTTAAAGCAATCCCCTAAAATAAATGGTAAATGACAATATTTCATTTGTGGAGCAAATTTTTAAAAAACAGAAGAAAAATAACAACATCAGTAAAGACTCTTACTTGGTAAGAGTAAAGGAAACAAACTATTCGTTTGAAAAAAAAAAACTATGGATATTTGAACATATTGTTAAAAAAAAAAAAAAAGGTGTGTTTCAACCTAAAAACTGTATCTGTATATCCAGGCTTTAAAACAGTCTTCTTTGTATTTAAATCACTTAGGGATTTGTAAGAGGGCTCACCGATGCCCATAGTCCATTGTTTTTATTAAGGATATGTCAACCCCACTTGACAGATCAGAATCCCAAATCATCTAACTCCCTTTCTGAGGATAATGACTGAACATCAGTCATACAATTTTCAAAACACACAAAAACACGCATGCTTTCACTTCAAAGGAAGATCACTAGTTTTCACTAAGTGAAAATTAAAATGTCATGGTGCTTCACTCTTATCGTCTATTCAAACATTTGATAGACAAGTTCAATAAAAAGAGAGTAAAGTCATGAACCAAACCAAGACAAAAGGGGTCCTTATAATGGTTAAAATTCAGAGGTCGTGCCAACATTCCTCAGAACAGACTTCAGACCACACAGCACTGCCTTCTTTAAACAGGATAATCACCTCACAAGTGAATTTAAGATGTAGACAAAGCAAGAGAAGACTGAATGTGCTAGCAAAAAATTCACATTTCCATTACTACAATCAGGTTAATGTGAAATTGCAGGGAAAGATGTTATAAAATTCTATTATCTGTATTCTATCATTTGTTTTATTAGTTTATCCACTACATCTTACTATTAATCCTTCCACTCAAATCTTCAGCATATTTTGTAACCTATTATGTTTAGGAACTGCTAAATTTAACTTCTGTAGTAAGCCAAATAGGACATAGCTTAGTATAAGAAAATCTGAGACATCTAAATATAAAATTATAGAACAAGTAAGTGTGTGTCATTTGCATTAAAAAGAATTCAACCAGAACTTCATTTAAAAACTGTATAGAGGGGCACCTGGGTGGCTCAGTTGGTTAAGCATCTGCCTTCGGCTCAGGTCATGATCTTGGGGTCCTGGGATCACCCCAGGCTGGCTCTCTGCTCATCGGGGAGTCTGCTTGTCCCTCTCCCTCTGCCCTTTCCCCTCCTTGTGCTCTCACTCTCTCTTTCTCAGATAAATAAATATAAATAATAATAATAATAAAAAAACTGTGTAGAAATGAAGGATCTGCTCGGGCTTCCCCTGATGATAAGGTTGCTAAATATAGAGATTTGGCACTAAAATACTATAATCAAATAGCCAGTGAAAGAGTAATCCCAAATAATCTTTAACTCAATAAGAAAATGTGGTTTAGTCTACACATACCTTTTCAGAAAACCACCTAAAAGCAAGGCCATTGATCTTACCTGTCATTACCGAGGCAAAAGGCTGCTGAGGATCAAAAGGACATTTCAGTCTGCCAGACTCCAAATTATGTGTGTCTAGTTTGAATATAACTTCCTGTTATGAGAAATATTAACACAAGTGAGACTTTTTAAAATAGCAAATCAGCAAGAAGATAGGAGATAAGAACTAAATTCTAACTCATTTATTCAACAAAAACTGATTGAGCATATAGCATGTGCATCATGCTGTGCTCCTTAACTCTTTAGCAAATATTATTTCTGGCAAGGCTCAATTCCCATGTTTTGGTCTGTGTTTGCCCAAAGTAGTAATGATAATACTGAATGAATTTTTCAATTGGAAGTAGTGATATAACCATCAATTCACTGAGTCTGGACCACTCTCATTATCAAAATCACCATCAAGCACACACATTTCTTAAGGCTAATAACAAATTTATTGAGCCTAATAAGCTAATTTCCTCATCTAAGAAATGAATTTATGGGGCGCCTGGCTGGCTCAGTCCATTGAGCATGTGACTGTTGATCTCAGGTTCATGAGTTTGAGCCCCACGTTGGGTATAAAGATTGCTTAAAAAAAAAAGAAATGAATTTACTAAAATAATTACACTTTCATTACTATTGTGGTTTATTTACTCACACATCTTCAACTAAACCAAAATAGGCCTTGTGACATTTTGTGATTTTAGAGACATAAAAGCGTGCTAAGGCAGACAGTCCATTTACAGAGCTGTTGATACATGTGGGCAAAAAAACCCCAAAAAACAAAAAAAAACCCCAACAACCAAAAAAAACCCTGTTGTAGTATTTTCACTATTATGAAAACACTGTACACATTAAAACCACATAGTTATTTTGGCTGAAATATCTATTTTTATAATAGTGGCCACAGACAGAATGACATTGGCAGACTTTTAATATTCAGGAAAAAATAACATCTTAAGTTGAACTTTCCAAGAAAAATATGAATGTATAATGAATATGGCCCCATGAGTTTGAGTGTTTCATAACAATGACAACACTACCACCCAGCAGAAAGGCTGATGACTCACCCTACATATGCACTAGTTAGAGAAATCTAGCATTTCAGATATTTTCTCTAGACGGTGTATCTACCAAGTTGTATCAGAACACATGCATAATGAGAAAGGAACATTCAGTGCTACTTATCTAGAAAGTAAGCAATGAAGCAAAAGGGATAGAGGGAATTGGATTGTTTGTTGTACTGTGTTGTCATTTCAGATTTGTTTCTTCTGAACAGAACCAATAGTAATGACCACCTTATTAAAAAAAAAAACAGTGGTAGTAATTTAAATAGCATGATTGACAATGGCTATTTCATAGTTTTAAGTAAATGCACTTTCATGCTAACAGGAATAGTCCCTGCCATTAGGTACTAACTGTGGGCCCAAGAAATTTATGTACATTGTCTCATTGAATCCTCACCATAAGCCTAAAGCTATAGCTACTTTAAGAATTCCAGCTTCACAAGTGGAATATTGAGGACAGAAGGGGTTAACTATCTTGTTCAGCAGCACATAGCTAGTAAGAGGCAAAGCAGTAGCTTGAACTCTCAGGGCTGTCCCCAAAGTTCATGCTGTTAACTAATCTCACCTCAGAATTTCAAACTCATGGATTTAAAAATGTGTTAAAATCAATTTATAGACTCACCATGACCATGTAATATGATCAAATCCAAGTATGTTTAGTTGGAACAGGCCAGCTAATGACAAGCTGTGATAGTGGAACCTTGGCATGGAAAAGGTACAGTGAGAACCCATTTAGGGCATGCTTCCCAACTGCGAATGAGGCTACAGAGATGTCAGGGAAAAAAACACCTGTAGACAGTGGCACTCGTGTGTGTTTAAATATCATTAAGGGCACATTATTTTCCACAGATCAAACAGAACTGTTGACTCTAAAGCCTATAATAGGATATTGTAATGGGAAAAAGTAAACTGAATCCCAGCGTGCCAGAAGATTAGAGTAAAAAGTTAAAAAGGAAAGACCAAGAAAATAGGAGAGTGTCACAGTTGATGAAAAGTACTAGATAAACCCTCCTAACTGTACAGACTTCTGTTTTTAAGATGCAACATTTCATTACATTCTCAAGATAAGCCCATAACATTGATATCTTGAAGGCTTAGGACAAGGTCTCTCTTATAATCTCCTGGAGAAAGGAATTATCAGGAAAGAGAGTTTCCTTAAGCCAGAGTCAAGGACACCACGAGGAAAATTCTGTAAAAAATAATGGTTGACTGAGTGGACTTTGGGAGATAAACTGACTGAATTACAGGACACTAACGTTTGAGACAACTTCAGTTTTATAAGAAAATTCCTTCAGCGTAATTAAGTAAGCAAAACATACCAACGTATATTGTTGTAGTAAAGAGATGAGCATGATAGGAAAACATTTAGTTATCAGGGCAACTAGGCAGAGTTATTGTTAATACCACCCCCATTTAAAGATGAGATTTCTGGCAGCAGAGGGGAGATCACAGAGGAGAGAACATCCTTCCAGTGTAATTACTAAACAAATAACAGGCATTGCTGGTATCACAGAATAAATGTATATATTTACACATACAGAATATATATATATACATACACACAAACACATCTATACATACACACACATGTATACACACACGCATATACACACACATTTATACATACACATACATGCATACACACATCGCAGACATTATTTTTCCATGAAGTTTACATACACACTTTCCAAATCCTTGCTGCCTTTCGTGTTCCTCTTGCCTAGTACGGCTGAGTCGTAAGTGGTAAGTGACTGGAATGAAGCAAGGGCTCTGCCAAAGCCCATACAAGTATTTTCTCATTTTATCCTTCAAATAACTCTGTGAGATAGTTACTATTATTATCATCCTCATTTTGCTGAATAAACAGAAGCTTCAAGAGTTTATGCAGGGCGCATAAGACTACGGAGCTGGTAACTGACCGAAGCCATAATTCAAACTCTGGCTGCCCAGGCTCCAACGATGAGCTGTTGACAACTGCCCTGACTCCTGTCCTGAAATCCGGATCCCACTGCCGGCTTGGCATGACCTAACCGAACATTTTGCAAATGCAGAACGTACAAGACTCACTCACCGTTTCCCTCGCAAACTTGTTACTATTCTCACCTCAGTAACACCACTCTCTAACTCACTGCCAAGGACAGAAATCTGGGATTCATTTGAGCTTTTCTCCTCTTTCCTCTCACTGTCCCAGGATTTCCCAGGAAGGGGACTTCCCACACTTCCCTTCTGCATCCCTCTTACATATTGCCGGTCCCTCTTTCCAGCCCCATCAGGAGAAACCTCATCTATTTGAAAATGGAAGAGCCTTCTAAATTCCCTCTGGAAGAGCAATGATTCCTGGGACTAATAATTCATTGAAAAAAGTTAACAATCTTCAAGCAGCGTTGCCATACAATTACCTGTATTCTTGACCGGTGGAAAAATCACCAGGCTCACCTCCCAGCTCACCCATAATTCTCTGAGTCACAGACCTTGTAAATCTGACTGTCCCAGGCCCTCTTGACAGCCCCAAGCTAAGTAATTAGCTCCATCTAAATTCCCTTTCAGCACTTGTGACTTTCAGGAGTTAAAGAACACTATTTGCACCCCTCAGCAAGTTGTGAGTTTGGCCTTTAGCCTCAGGCCTCAAAACACATCCAGGCTGTGGGGCTATCTAATATAATTACACCTTATGTTATATATTACCCTTCATCAAAGCTAGGCAAGGGAACATTACACCAGCAACAAAGAATGATGGATTCAAGTTGCCAAGTCTCCTAGTGGTTCGGAGATTTAACTATGAGGGTTGCTTTATTTTCAAACAGTTGAGAATGGGCTGGTTAGACAAGTTGGTTAGAGAGAAAAATTAATCCAGCCACAGCTGTGGGTTTGATCTCTGCATGAATCAGTTAAATCAATGTAAAGAAACCTGTTCCATAAACCCAGACTTTACTTTCAAACACACAGCGAATTATCCTGCAAATATGTGTGGTTATTCACAAGTAGTATATACATAAACATAAGGATGACAGTACAACTCATCAAACCCATACAAAGAAACAATTTAGGGTATGTACTCTAAAGCTCAGTTGGGCATGCTTGCTCTAGAGACAGACTGCTTTGGTTCAATTCCTTGCCAGACCACTTATTAGCTGGGTGATTTTAGGCATGTTATTTAATTCCACTGAGACTCAAGTTTTACTAACTTGTAAGTTGGGACTTATAAAGGTACTAACTTCAATTAAAAGCGTTGTTAAATTTCAGAGACAATCCATGTAAAGTGCCTGGCATAGTCCATGATACAAAGAAGGCACTTTAATGTATCAGTTACTAATTAAACTACTGAAATCTGCATGTTTCTCATTTATTAAAATGCTCATTGATAGCTGGAATATATTCCTCTTAATTTAGTACATCTTTATTTGCACTATGGCAATTCGGCCCAGCAGAAATAATGAATTCAGTGTGCTAATGACTATGTATATAATTTTAAGAAAAAAAAATTATCTGTACTTAGTGTGTAACCATATATAACAGATCAAATTTGCTGGATGGGAAAAATGAAATTATTTATAAGATACAATTCCACTGCAAGGTCATATGGGATGTGGGTTTTTACTAACAGCAACTAATATAGATCTAATTACAATGGAAACGCCAAAGAAAATAAGAACATACACAGAGTCTATAGAAAACAAACACTTTCAACATTTTACACTTTTAATTTTGATCATCTCATTAAAAAACTTCTAATCAAAAAACTTTTTATTGGGTAGATAAAGTGTGTAATCAAAATGGCAATCTATAAGGTGGTTGGGAACATGAGTTCTTATGTGATTCATAATCTATATGATTCAAACTTTATATTCAAATCTGCCTGTTTTATGTCAAAGACATTAAGTGACAAGGTATTATAACTAATTGTTTTCATGCTATTTCATTATATTACCTCCTTGTAGACTCCAAGATCAATATAACCACATATTGGATGAAATGCTCCAGTTCCACACACATAAATGTGAGTTTTGTTATAGGGTTGAAGTACGCGGATAAAATTTGCACATTCTGTCTATTGGACATAAAAAAAAAATAAAAGCATTAGCACGCAATTCATGTTGTTGAAAGATCATCATTCATACCACCTGTTTTCCAAGTAGATAAATCATCAAGAAAAACAGCAAAAATGAAAACGATTCATGAGACATGCTTAAACATCTGACTTAGCAAAGGAAGCAAAACAAACTAGAAACTGTGGCTTAAATGAATGACTGAAGCTTTTCTGAAGTTTTACAGGTGTTGAACTAATCAGAATGCAAGAGTGCACATCTCTATAGATATTCAGCGGGGCCTACGGAATGGATATCAACAGAATGAGATATCCATACCTTCTTTCAGGAATTACCTAAGAACAAAACCTGTCATGTTCTGATATTCCCACATTGTCTATCACATTATAGATCCACTGTTGATAACATCAACTGTCTCAGCTACACTGAACAAAACATGAACACACTTGTGTATTCCCATAATGTATTCCATTTTTATTGGATGGAATGCACTACCACTTTATTCCCAACTATTTTTAATGTCACAGAGCCTTTAAAAATCAATTTAATTTCTCTTTATTCCAAGAATCTCTTGTTCTTCCCCTGCACTTTCTAACACCAAGTCAAATTTTTGAAGAGATTTTTATATCTCTGCTTGCTTTGCATGTGCTTGGTCCTAAAAATATTTCTTTGCATTATTATCATTATAACATATATTATCTATCCCCTAATTAGTTACAAGTAGTGACTCTTAATTTTTCAGAGTAGTCATTCCTGTTATTATACATTATTTTTGATTTATCTCCCATAAGTAATTCCTTATCTTTACATGATTATTGGCTTCATGGTTCCTGGACCCCAAAATCCCTGAGAAAACACCGGGCTGGAGTATACTTTTATTCTGGATTGACTTTATCTAGGAGATGGGGAATTGTTCACCAAGAAAGGTATAAACCTAAGAAACCACTGGGATTCATAGAAAAAGTCTAGTTCTTCCCTACCTGAATGGCCATGCGTTCCTCACCAGTCAGATGTTGACCTAATGGGTCACTCTTATTGTAAGAGTTAAGAAGGAATATATTACAAAAGAACCCAAAAGACAAAAAACAATGACCTAACTGGTAGGGTGGTTTTTAGAATTAAATACAATTTTCAGAAAGCAGACAGCAACTTAACTGACAGGATTAAGTTAAATAATACAATATTAATAATTATTATTTACCCTGATTTGGATCTATATAAAATATCAATATCCCAGTGGCTATTCAGATTTTAGAGTGAAAAGCTATACCTGCATAACTGTGGTAAAGAGTTCCTAGTCTCTAGTACTTCCCTTGGCCAGCTAGCCTTGCAATTTTATGTCTCAAGAATTCATAGATCCCAATTAATAAAATGTGTACATTCTACCACAGAAGAATGTTACAATGAACTCATCAAATTTTCTGTTCTCTGCTTTCTATAAACAAAGCAGTTGCTTCAGATTGTATGAAAGACCAGCATCATTACTGGTCTCTCAGAGAGCTACACAAGGAAAGGATATTTCTTTATCAGGTAGGCAGACTAAGCACTCTCTAAAAATGGCATTGCATATAGTTACTTAGGTTGTATGCCAAGGGGAAAAAAAAGGCACATCTAAGGATGTGCAAGTTACACTACAGACATCTTTATTATCCTGAATATTTTCATATATTTTGTATATGTTCTCAAACATTCATTATATGCAGTCTCTTAAGAAAGGAACACTTTAAATTCACTAAGACAGTTTTCTGGCAAATAGTCTTGTTTAACAAAAACATATTATGTCAGTTTTCCACCTTTCTGTCAAGGTGTCTGATGGAGAGAAATTATTTTCTATTTGCACAAAGGCACCATAGAGGACTAGCCTCATATTCTTTTTTTTTTTTTTTAAAGATTTTATTTATTTATTTGACAGAGGGAGACACAGCGAGAGAGGGAATACAAGCAGTGGGAGTGGGAGAGGGAGAAGCAGGTTCCCGCTGAGCAGGAAGCCTGATGCGGGGCTTGATCCCAGGACCTGGAATCATGACCTGAGCCGAAGGCAGACGCTTAATGACTGAGCCACCCAGGCGCCCCTAGCTTCATATTCTTTAACATCATGTTAGGCAATCTCAGATGAAAATCTAATTCAGACAGTACATATGTCATACTAATGATTTTGAACAAATAATAGAGACACCATAATATGAGAAAAGCCAAGACAAAAAGGTTAAAAAAGTCTGTGATCACCAGATAAACTGTAATGATGGCTTCATCACTAGAATGAGAGGTTTTAATATTCTCCAGCTTTTATTTTACTCACTCATGCTCACTGAAGGGACTTTTATTTCTTGGTCTTTCCCCCACCAAAAGCTTTATACAAAGGTGAGATCTATACCAGGAACAGTACCCAGGGAGGGGAAGAGTAGAATTACATTGCTGGAGTGAGGACGGACTGACTCGCTGCCCAATAATTTCATCATTTTTTAAAAAGCTGTTTCAACAAATAGTCATAGAATTTAGAGGGTAATTTTTACAAACGAGTACTTGTGTCCTCTAAAATTCATTGGTTGAAACCCTAACCCCTCGCCCCCCAGAGGGATGGTAATAGGAGGTGGGGCCTTTGGAGGTAATTAGCTTTAGAAAAGATCCTGAGATTGGGATCATCATGATGGGAAGAGACAGAACTCTCTCTTTCTCCCTCTCTCCCCCTCCCTCTCTTTCTCTATCTCTTCCCCCTGCCATGTGAAGATACAACAGGATGATGTCCATCTGCAAGCCAGGTAGAGAATTTTCATCAAGCACCAAATCTACCAGCACTTTGATCTTGAACTTCTCAGCCTTCAGTACTGTGAGAGATAAATGTCTGTTGTTTAATGTCTGTAGTTTATGAGATTTTGTTACAGTAGCCCACGCTATGACAGCAATTTTACAGGATTTTGAAATAAATAAAACGACTTCCTTTCCAGATTATAAATTATGGAGTCAGAAAGATGAGGGACTATGAGAGACACAGCACTGCTTTTAAAAAGGCTAATAAGGCCCAGGGTGAAATTTTATACACAGAGGAGATAGAATGTTACTGATTATAAAGAAAAAGCTCTGAATCACACCTAAAATATTTCACATCCTTTAACTTTTCTAGGAGTACCTTATTAAAATGCAGCCAGCCCTGGAAAGTAATTTATTATGCTAGTTTTCTGACTTGGTGAGATATTCACAAGGATTTATGAAATTCCTCCATGTCCCAGATTCGGGTGACATGGAATAGAACAATTTATGGGTGAGTCCTGAATTGTCTGACACTTTACAAAAAAGTCAGTTCTGCTCAAAGTGTTCTGTAATGAAGTTGATAGAGGGTAGTTCTCGAAGCAGCCTGGAGGCAAGGAAAAGGCACTGGTTGCCTGATGGATGAGAAACCTCGGAACAGAGATCCTACAAGATCAAGTTTGGCTTAAATAGCAGGAGCAATGATTAACTTGATTTAATTCACTTAGCGTTCTGCATGGCTATTCACGGTAGTGTAATTCTGTGAGGCATGAAAAAAGATAATTTTGAGAAGCAGCTTTTCGAACTTTCCCTGAAAGCTGGCTTATTTGTTAGCTATTCCCCACAACTGCAAGTGTGGTTGCATGTGAGCAAACATTTCAATTTAGCGAGTAATAGGCTCAACTTTGGAAAAATATGAATTTCTCCTTCTTTCCTTATTCTTCCCACCTACTCCCTTCCCCACCTACCAACATTCCCATCAGAAGAAAGAGAGAAGGAGAAAATTTAAAACTAGTATCGACTTTTTAATTCTCTCAAGTAATGCTTCAATATTTTACCTCACATATACATTTATACACTATATGTAATTAAATAAGACAGATGTAAAACTGAATTAATACTTGGAAGAAAAGGCTAATATATGTTTGTATTATGTATTAAAACTTGGAATTCTAGTTTCAACCTAGATATGTGAAAAAAAAAAGCAACACAGAAATACAACACAGAAATTCTCTAGACTTATACATAGTCCAATTAAATCTAATACAGCTTTATATATATTTCTGATAATTTATAATTGCTAATTTTAATTTATTTAGGTTATATATGAAGAGACATTCATGATTTAGAAATATAGTTTGTTTTTATTTTTAGTATATTTTGCAGAAGAGAGTGATCATCAAACATTTTTGGTCATCACCACAGACTTTTCACAGTGCGACGGTGCTAACAGACCTCAGAATAGAATCCAGTCTACAAGGGTGTCTGAGTGGATCAGCTGGTTAAAGGGCCCACTCTTGATTTAGGCTAAGGTCATGATCTCAGTGTCCTGGGATCAAGCCCAGCTTTGCTCTGTGATCAGCGGGGAGTCTGCTGGAAGATTCTCTCTCCCTATCCCTCTGCCCCTCCCTCGCTCACACGCACAGGCATGCTCTCTCTCTCAAAAAGACATAAATCTTAAAAAAAAATTTCCAGTCTTTACAGGTATCTGCTTAGGTCTTAGTGTTGAAAATATTTTAATGAGTTACCCACACTTCAAAATAAGTACATGATAATCCCCACATTACACTTCTCTCTTAAAAATGGAAGATCTAAAGTAGAAATTTCTACAGAGCAAAAACTAGCTGTCATGGCAAGACAGAGGAAAATATTTTAAAGAAAAAAAAGAGAAGTATGCCTATTTAAATATGTAAAAGTGTATATATCAAGTAACTGGGAAAAATATTTTTAAGTAAGTTGATCACAAAGTAATAATATATTTTATATACATATATATATCTTAAATATGTATAATAATATGATATTTTATATATATATATCTTGAAAATCTGTAAATAACCAGTAAGGAAAAGGTAAACACTAAAACTTAAAATTATAAATTATAGGGATATGATATTCCAAAAAATAAGCCCTAATTTTACAACTACCTAAAATATTTAGTATTTATAGTAATGAAAGAATTTCAGGCAAAAATAACAAAAATAATTTTCCTTTTGTTGGCAAAGATTAAATACATTTATTTTATTCATTTACGTATCAGCATTAAATATTAACCTATGTTGTACCCACTATGATTAGCAAGAGTATGGCAAAATATACCCTCTCATGAACATGCACTGCTGGTTAAAGCAGAGAACACATAAACTTACTGGAGGGTAATTTTGCAATGTGCAAAAAAAATTTTATGTCCAAAAAAAAAAAACCCAAAATTATATCCTTGACCAGTAATTCTACTCAATATTCAAAGATGTTTGCAGTATTTACATATAAGATTTTTCATGTGAAGCATCACTTATAATAGCTAAAACCTGGATATAAACCAAACTTCTAACAATAGAGGATTGATGAAATAATATATAAAGGAATGCAGTGTGGCTATTAAAAGTAGTGTTATAAAAAGGAATTTAATGACATGGGAAAATGCTCATGGCAGTTTGCAAAGTGAAAAAAAAATGTTTTAGGGGACTATGTATACAATGATTTCATTCTGAAAAATAGTAAATAGATAAGATAGAAGAATAAACATCAAAACGTCACCAGCTATCTCTGGGTAATGTTCATGGGGGAGGAGATATTTACAGATGACTTCCATGTAATTTGCAAACTTTCTACAATGAGCACTTTGTTTTGCTTTTAGACGTTCTTTAAAAAAGAAGAAAGAAAGAATGTAATCATAGAACTTGGGTGATGGAAGATCCTTGAAGTCTATGTCATGTCTCCATTGACAAGGTTGTGTGCCTCTGGGGTTAAGATGACAAACACAACCCAGGCTGCCCACATCCTGTGCGTTCTTTTGCCTGGACTGAGTTGTTGTCTCCACTCTTTATAGTCAGGACTAAGGACATTTCTTTAGTGACTTTCTTTTGAATAATATTCTAAGCAGAAACAAAATACTATGAAATAGCTTCCTGTCACTATTTCCTTTCTTTGGACTAAACTGGAGACTGTGGTCAAGAAAGGGGAATAGTTCTCTTTTGTTTCCTCATCTTCCACTCCCTCCCCACCCCAATTAGCTAACTTTCATTATGGTAAATAATTCACTATTTTTCAGTTATATAGTACCTTTGTGTAAAGGGACAGTCTTTCCAAACACTTGTTAATCCTAAAAACACTCTTGGGAAGTAGGTAAAAATTACTAGAGAGAAGGGAGGAGAGAGGGGAATGCCAAAGGTAATAAAAGAGGTCAATAAAACCACACACTTGTCTCAGTTTTCTGTCGGCTGAAATCTATGCAACGCTATAAACTGAGGATCTCTATTATGAGGATAGTGTAGAGAGAAGTGATTTGAGGGGGACAGTTTGAGGGATAAGGTTTTCAGAACTTATACGTAGAGACGATGGACTCTGAAAAACAAACTGAGGGTTCTAGAGGGGAGGGGGGTGGGGGGATGGGTTAGCCTGGTGATGGGTATTAAAGAGGGCACGTACTGCATGGAGCACTGGGTGTTATACACAAACAATGAATCATGGAACACTACATCAAAAACTAATGATGTAATGTATGGTGATTAACATAACAATAAAAAATTAATTAAAAAAAAAGAACTCTAGGCAGTTCTTTCCAGAGTGTGAAGTACCAACAGGGGTTGCGGGGGGTAGGGGGATGGGACTTTGACGTAAGGAGGGGTCAGGTTATAGAAAGCTTTGTGTGACAAGCGTGCCTGGGTGGCTCAGTCAGTTAAGCGTCTGACTCTTAGTTTCAGCTCAGGTCATGATCTCAGGGTCCTGAGAACGAGCCCCTCATTGGGTTCCTCTCTCATTGTGGAGTCTGCTTGTCCTTCTCTCTCTGTTCCCCCCCCCCACTCACGCTCTCTGTCTCTAAAATAAATAAATAAAATCTTAAAAAAAAAAAAACTTATACGTAGAGTTCAGACCTTTATGTGTAGATCACAGTGTTGTGTAAGAGCACCGATTATGGGGCAAGACTTCTGGATTCAATTTCTGGCTTCACTATTTACTAGATATGTGATACTGGGCAAGCCATTTAATTTTTCTGGCCTCAGTCTTCTCATCTACAAAATGAGGAATAATAATAAAATGTAGCCTGTAATATCGTTATAAGGATTAAACGAGATTATAAAGCATTGGAAGCTGTTCCTGGAACAGGGTAAGTGCTATAAAAGTGCTAGCCATTCTTAGTAATGCTAAAATATACTATTATTTTAAAGTGACAGATTAAAAAGAAGGAGACAGAGAATTGTATTATCCCTACATGATTCAACATCAAACTTTACAGTTTGCAGTGAAAAGAGAAAAGCTCCCCATATCTCTAATCCTGAGCTGGCAGTAGGTGTGCTTAAAGGTTAAAGGTGATTAGTAGCTCCCAAATACAAATGAATTGCAAGAATAGGTTCCATATACTCGGTCCTACATGCTCCAGGATACCACCTCCAGAAAAGTTTATCACCCTTTGCTTTAACTTAATCAGAGGGGCAACTGAGTTACTATATAACCAGATTTAGTGAACATACTGAAATGAGAACACTGTCACAATTAAAACCTCCACTGATGGTTTGACCTTGAGTGTTTATCCCTCATCTACTCCATGGGAACATGGGCATTAGTTTATTGGATGAAATTTAAACCACCTTTTCCTACTTGCCTCCTTTTTAAACAGTCAATACTGGTAAAACACAAAATATTGAAGTGTTCACGCTGTTTATGGTATGTTTGTACTGTTATTAAAATAATTTTGAAAACTCTCATAACCAATGCATCTTTTTTTTCACCACAAGTCCAAAAAAGTATTGAGGATTTGCAGACCCGAGCACCTGCTCAGTTAAGATATTGAACAGGGTGAAGAGATTAGAGACATGGGAGGAAGAATATATTATAGAATAGTTTGATCTTTTTCATTTCAAGTAAAATAAATGTAAAAACTGTTTCTGTTGCTTTTGATGCTAATACCCTCTGATATATTTCTGTTAACATAAATGTGCTTGAAAAGATAACATTTAATACTGAAAGAAAACAAAATAGGGCATAATCAAAAGTTTCTTTTGTTTTGATCATTTTGTTACTATGTATTAAAAGCTCCATGATAGTAGAAACTGTATCCTTTCATACACATATTTATTTACATATTTAGGTTCTTAATAAATATTTGTTGAATAAATAAATACATGAACAAATGGGTGAGCAAACCAGCGGTCTCAAATTCTTAGTTTCCTAAACTTTCCCTCAATTATATGAGGCATCATGTGTCACGTTGTTTTTTTATCACATTGATAAAGTGAGAATTTTTGTATCTAATTATGCTTTCCTATAACACACACTCTTTGTTGTTTTTAAATATAAAGGCATTGCTCAGCTTAATACCCCTGGGTTACTGTGTTTCAGCAACATTAGAGAATGTTGCAAAAGACGTCTCAAGATATCCACGTTTCTGAAAAGTTTTGAACCTCTTTTCATCTTCAGTTACATTCAGGAAGTAATTTACTTTGCCAAAAAAAAAAAAAAGAGAGAGAAAGCGATTCTCCCTATCACCACAGTGCAAGAAGTCAGGGCAGAACACAGAGCATCTGGAGATGAGGAGAAGAGGCAGAAAGAACCACAACACTCTTCAGTCATTGCTGGAGATAAAACAGACAACACAATGTGGGGGAGAATGCAGGACAACTTGGACAATGTGAAAGCAATTCAGACAGGATGCCTCCAAAGCAATTAAGTTGGTTGTGTGTATCTATAGGTTTTCTCTGACCCTTAAGGCAGCTTAAACCAGAAGTTTCTATTAGAACCCCATTATTTATCCTTTATAAGTTATTTCATGTAATTATGCTTAAGCGAATTTTAGAGTAAATTATTTCTAGTTCTTATTCCAGAATGTTATGTCATTCATTTGCACCCAATTGTTCTTATTATCTCTATGATGTCGACTCTTGAATTTTTTCTTCTGGATGCTATAAGTTTAATTTTAATCCAAATTAACTTAAATATCAATTATATGTTTGTGATGCTAAAATACTCATGATTTTGTGTGCATTTGCAAAATACAGGCATATAAATGAAAAATATACAATCCTATATTTTCTGATGATTTATTTTTTAATATTTAAGTGCATTTCTGAGATTTGTGTGAAGAAAATAATAATATCCAGAATTAACACTTTAGAAAGTCTAGTATTTCTAAATTTCTGCAGTCAAATGCTCTACCCCTGAGTTATACCCCCACATACATAGTATTTCTAAATTTCTGAGGATAATGGCATTCCTTTTGGCAAGATAGAAATATTTTATATCTTCTTAATCTTTACACAGAATGTTTATGCAGTCTTAAAAATAATACACCAATGCCATTAATTCAATAAAAACCAATATAAATATTTATTATCATATCAGTACCAGTTTAACAAAGATATTTTTAAAGTCTCATACTTACATTGGCATCTTTCCCAGCTAATTTACATAATTCCACTCGTTCCTTTGCAGCGGGCCAATAAATCTGTAAAACATTTCAAAGTGTGTCAGAATCTGAATATCTAAAACACCCTACAATTCTAATTAGGAAAATGAGTGTGTTGAATTAAAGAGTGGGTATCAGGCTAAAACTATGTTAGATATGATGTAAGACTTTTGAGATTTAGATATTTTCCAAAGGCACCCTAAAAAAATTTCTAAGAAAAACTATAGAACCATTCATTTGTATATTTCAGTCTTCTAATTTCTTTTTAAATGTATTTAATAATAGATAAATTATGTTGAGAAGTTCATAAATTCTTATCGTGATGTTGATAGAATTTCAGAATAGCATTTGCTTAAGCAAGAGATTCTATTTACGCTGTTTTTCCGTACTTACTCAGAGTGGTGGGGCATTATAAATGTGTCCAGGGAAGTGTGTGAAACAGCACTTTGTTACAAGCAAAGTTATCACTCCAAGTCAAAGACCAGTGTGGATTTGCTGGCAAATTTAACATGTATAGAGCTCAGATGCATCTGTCACTTAAACATTTTTTTATGTATTATCTTATTTAAATCTCACAATGACCCCATGTGATGGCTGTATTTACTCTCCCTATTTTCACTTCAGAAAACTCATCCATACAGCCATTAAGTAACATGTCAAGTAACATGCCACAAACATAGTCACCGGCAAAGCCAAAATATGACCCAAGTCTCTCTGAAGTAAGGGGTCTCAATCACCACACAGTAATTATTATTTGGGCAAATGATTAAGGATAAGGGCGGCAAATCCCTTGGTTGGTAGCTTTTAATCATGTTTTAACTGTCTTGAATTTATCATACAGGTTTTTCTTTTGTTTTTAACAAAGTTTAGCAACTCTGTCAAGAAGGTTTTGCAAAATAAGATTCAAACAGTTACTTTACTCCATTAGCTTAAAGAAAGAAACGCTCTCTGCTAAGCTACAGGCAAGAATAAACAAGAGTTAGCTCTGAGTTGCTTATAATATATGTTCCAAGAGTTCCTGACAAACTTTGATTATATTTCTCACCAATGTTAGCAGAAAATGTCTTAATAGGGTGAGGAAAAAGGAAAATATCCTGAGGGAATGCACCGAAAGAGTCTTGTTAAACCTGGAATTCACAAATGACTTAGAAGTCACCAATATTTATATGGATTATCTTCATAGTAAAATTTTAGGGTTTTATGTCTCTGAATAATACATAGAGAAGAATAGAGAATACCACTCAAACTCTCTTAATAGACAAATTCAATAAAATTACTAAGATTTTTAAATGAAGCAAGGTTGTTCATTCAGAGCACATTTTAACAGGCTGCAAATTATAGTCCAAAGATGTATCTAGGCAGGTTGGTAGAGCCAGCAGTAGGCTCAAGTGATGAGCTAACATTGATGTGGTTCGCAATAAGGACCTAAAGATGCCATTTATTCAAAAATGGCTTAAATCATGGCAATTATACTTTCATACAATTTTGAAAATTAGCCAGCCATAGAATATAAATAGACCACAGCAATAAAAAATAGTATGGGTGGATCTTAGCAATTCGTTATTAGGTAAAAAAGTACAGTCCCCCAAATTACAAACAGAACGATCCCCTCAGAATAATGTTAAAAAAAAAAACTAAAATAAAATAGACACTTTTAAGGTATATGAGTAGATGGAATAAGTAAGAAGAAGAACAAGAGAGTAATGAATATGGGATTTAGAATGATGGTTGCCCCAGATTGGAAAAAAGAAGGCTTAAATTGTGGTAAGAGGGGCGGAGCAAGATGGCGGAGGAGTAGGAGACCTGGATATCATCTCCTCTCAGGAATTCAGCTGGATAGGGATCAAACCATTCTGAACACCTACAAACTCAACAGGAGATCGAAGAAAAGAAGAGCAACAACTCTCTCATC